TCTTTTTAATCGATTACGAGATTAATAATTACAAATTTCAAATATATAATCAATGAAGCTGTAAATTCGTGATAATTTACAAATTAATCACGTAATTAGACTATGCATATAATTTTAAAATGCACAAAAGTTAAATAGTTCGGAGAACACGTTGCGTATTCTGAGTAAAAATTTAATACTCAGTAGAATTCAAAATATAGCCGAATATTTTTGTAGCGGTTGAAAAACAGCTGATTCGAGTTTAACGAAATACATGTCGGTCATTGCAGTTTCAAATACGCGTCCAGTGTGTCGTGAAGCCATTAGCAAATTATTTTCTGTACGGAAATTGGTCGATGATCACGTATATACGATTTCGGAGCACAGAGCGTTAATTTGTTAAATTCCATTTCGTTGAAGAGTGCATTGGCTGTAACGAGTGCTTTTCACGATACGTTTGTGAATAACGAAATTCAGTCTCCCGAAATGAAATTATTGAACTGAGGTACCGATAATTGAAGAGTTAAACGATGTAAATACCGAAAAAAATCTAAAAAGCCGCTCTTTTGACAAAGAAAAAAGAAAAATAGAGAAGACGCTATAATTACGGAAATTTATAATTTTGTATAGACTGATAGATTACATAGTCACGATATGATATACTAACATGTAAATTGTCACGTGATATATGAACATGTTTAGGACTTGTATGAAATAAATCATAGTGCAGTGTACTATGGGTAAGTTCACCATGTATTATATGGTCAAACGTACGATTTTCACGCATAAAATAAGCACTCGTAAAGTATTCGCGTGCTATATTGCCACGTGTAAAATTACTACGCGTTAAATTTCCACGCATAGAATTATTATGTGTTATATTGTCACGTGTAGAATTACCACGCGTTATATTGCCATCTATAAAATTGTTGTACGCAAAATCTGCATATATAGAAGTGCTACGCATTATATTGCCGCATGTAAAATTACTACGCATTCGATTTCTACTTGTAGAATTACAGTGCGTTATATTGCCATGTGTAAAATTGCTGCGCATAGAATTACCATGAGTTATATTTCCACACATAGACTTGTCACGCGTTATATTACCGTATATGTATAAGTATCACGCGTTATATTGCCGCGTATAAAGTTACCGCACGTTAGATTGTCACGCGTAGACTTACCACGGGATAGATTTCCACAAGTAGAGCTTCCGCGCATGTATTTCCATGTGTAGAAGTGCCACGCGTTAGATTACTATCTGTAAAATTTCCGGCGTTGTATAGCCATGCGTAGAATTACCACACATTGTATTGTTACGTGTACAACTACTATGCGTGATGTTGGTATATGTATGTAGAATTACCACGCGTTACATCGTCATCCGTAGAATTTAGATTGGCCCGTGTAGCATTACCGCACGTTCGACTGCTCTGCCAAGAACTACCGTGTGTTACATTTCCCCTTGTAAAATTAACACGCATTATATCGCCATGTGTGGAAGTGCTACATATTAGATCGCTACCCGTAAAACTTCCATGTGTTATCATTCGTTATATCGTCACACGTTATATTGCCACCTGAACAACTTTCACGTGTTATAATGCTATACGTTATATTACAACACGTAAAATTACCTCGTATTAAATTGTCACCCATAGAATTCTTGTACGCTAAATTGCCACGAATTAGACCCCTGTTTGTTGTATTACCACGTACTAGATCGCTACGCGTCCTACTGCATCCAGTTTAATTAAAGTCTTTTTTGGCCATGGACACAAGATTGGATACCATTACTGGACTAATAAAGTAAACGGACTAACAAATCGAGACTGTAAACTTTAAAATTTTTTACTTGTAAGCTGACTAAGCACTTTTATCCTGCTTAATTAATGTTTACATCAATGCTCAAGATTTATTAAGTACCGAAAAAGAACAACAATTGTTTAAATAAATAAAAGAAATTATGTTGTCCACTATTTGTTATCCTTGCACCGTATTACGAGAGACCGGTTTCAAAGATAAAATCCGCGAGCTACAATCAGAATGATTGAGTCTAGACAAGTAAAGCCACCAATAAAATTATAATGATCTCGATGAGATTAATCTGGACGATAACGTTATAGATAGTTTAAGACTGTAAACTATGAGGCAAAGAGTTGTCTAGAATGGTAGAAGTAGGTGATAGAAACGGGGTCAGACATCGTGGTCGTATGTTCGTTTTGTTATTGACCGCACACGTGTGCTCCTGCTGGCCAGATATCGGAGGTGCAGTCTCAGACGGATCCCACGCGTCTAAATGCACTCGTTCCTTTCATCTTGCGTCCGTTCGTTTGTTCTCGTGTGGTTTGCAGCGTCTACATTCGCGTGCAATGTAAGCTCTCTTTGAATATGGGTAAGTGCAGGGACAGGGGTATCCCACCACTACTTTTCATTTTGAGAAATCAAATAAAAAATATTCTCACATCTCTAAATATCTAATCAACAAATTTGTGCACTTATAAGTTTCTACATTACGTTTTTTAAATTTTATAATTTTCATATTCTTGAAGTCACACGTTTTCAAATTACAAATTTTTGAAATGTAAAATACTTATTTATTATACGATTTTATTGTATACGCTTTTAAATACTATTTATGCTATAAATATTATGCATATATGTATGTTTTTAAATAAAAAACGATTATTTATTATTCAAATTTATTGCAGGCACATGTAGACAGAAAATGGCTATTTACTATATGAATTTAATTGCTATTACTAGCTATTATATGAATTTATTGTACATATTTAAAAAAAAACATGTATTTATATACAAAATTATTGTATGCGTTTTTTAATAAAAAAATTTTTATTTATTATATAAATTTATTCTATAAATTTTTAAATAATGTTTGTTTATCATATGCATGTATTGTATACGTTTTTAAATAGAAAACACTTATTTGTTATTCGAATTTCGTTGTATACGTTTTTAAATAAAAAGTATTTATTTACTGTATATGTTTGTTGTATATATTTTTAAATATAAAATATATGCTTATATTTGTATTACCACTTCCAATAGTTCAAAAGCGCATATTTCTTTCTGAATTGAAAAAATTCTATAACAAGGCTGTTCTTGTATTAATTTTATTAAAAAAACTGTTCTGTGCAGATGAAATAACATGCGAGGAACAATTTTTAAAAATAACTTCTTTAATCGCCGCTACGCTTCGCGGTTTCGTACAACGGTGCGATCGAAATATCGGCAGTCTATGGTTGACTGAATTTTTCGTCGCAGAAAGTTCACGAAGCAAAAATGCATTTCCCCTGCAGAGAAACTCGTTCGTATCGCGGCTTTCGTGTAGTAGAACGGAAGCGTGTGAACGCGCCCTTAGCCTTGTCGCCTGGTGACTCTCGTGCGAGTTTCATGCGTGAATAAGCGGCCGCCGTTCTCGAGAACTATGCCAACTGCCAACTATTATGTAATGCCTCGCGTTTTCTTCGCCCATTTCTCCATGTTCGTTCGCGCATTCTGCATCCCGTACCTACACATACACACACATAAATGTGTATTTGTGCTCGTGTTTCCTCGACCGCGTGCACTTCCGCCACGACATTCCGCCGAGAATTCCCCGACAGGTGTCTAAATACGCTACCCCATTAAAAGTTGGCGCTTCGGGGATCCGTGGAAATTCTATGCTCGCGTGCTTATAGAAAATTCGGTGAAAGGGAAATGATGCGTCATACATGTGATTTTACCCCGGCCGAACATGTGTCGACTTGTAATTACGCAAATGGTAGTTCGTTTTCAAATATTATACGCGTAAAGTGCCGCGTATGTGATCGATAAAATGTTCGATCAAATTTTAATGGAAGTTTAGTGATTGAGTCAAATTGTTTGATTTTTGGTAGATATTTATTTTCGCGATACCTTGCGAGAGATTTTGATTGATTGGTACTATATGACCCATTTCGAAATATGGGATATGTTTGATAAATTGACTAATTGTTGTGTTCGGGGTAAACAAGAAATTTTTGGTCGAAATGGTCGATTTCGAAATATAGAAATATGGTGTTTTATGTAAAGGTACACAATAGGATTTAAGGTAGATTCTGAAGCTTCAAGTTCAATGAAAATTAATATTGCAAATGTTTGACTAGTTGGCGCTATAAGTCTCATTTCTATACAATATATAGGGATAAAATCTAACATTGTAGGGATATAGGGGTATACATAGACCTATTACTGTAGGATTACAGTAATGTATTTAGATATATGTATAGGGATATGTAAATGTCGAGGAATGCAGGAAATACGAATATGGGAATATGCGAATGTAAGGATCTAGTAGTTTTGGAATTTACAGATTTAGGAAGTTAAAAATATTGATAATCGATATTTTTGAATTTGTAGATTCAAACATTTAAAAACATAGAAACATCAAATTGTGAAACTTACAAATTAAAATATAGAAATTAAAAGATTTAAAAACCTTTGATTTCTGTGAAGGCATTTAAAGATTTAAAGGTACAGATATTTTATATTTCTAAATCTTCTAATTTAGGAATTTAGAAATTTAATAATTTTGAACATAAAACTGTTTATTTAAAAATTCAAAAATATCAAATTATTTAAACGAGAAAATTATTGGTAATTTAGAAGTTGTTATTAAGAATTGGGAAATGTAAGAACATAGGAACATGGAAATATTAAATAGAAATTCAAATTTGCAAACCTAAAATATGAAATTTTCAAAATCTTGGAAATATCAAATTTTCTAACTGCATAATAAATTTAATCCTTAAAAATTTGGAATGTTAAAATATCACATTTCTCAATTAAAAATAATAAATTTCCTCTGCTCAATAAATTTGCAATATCACACAACTTTTACAGTTTTCTTCCAACAGAATTTGGTCAATATAATAAATTTCATTTTATTTAAATGAAAATGAAAATGCAATATGAAATACATCTTTTCTCAATATTAAAATACTTCTTGTTTATGTTTCATTCAACCTGATCAAAAATGCAACTGCACTCCACTTATGTTAGTTAATGCCTGAGGGTCGGAGGAGCTTCTCTCTCGTCTTGTTTGTCGTTCAACTGGTTCGACGCCAAAACCCGAAACCAGTTCATTGTCAAGGACCACCAGTGGCATCATTCTCTTTTTGCCTTCACAGAGGAGGAGAAGGATATCGTTTCTCCTACGCGTAAACGAAGAAACGGTAGTCGCAATTCTTTTCAACATCCGTTGTATCGTACGTGTGCACGTGTTGCATCGATTGTAACCGCAACGCCTACTTCTTCGTCTTCTACCTTTCTAGATACCACCATGATTGTTTACCGTTGGGCATTGTTCTGCAATTTTTTTCGTATACGGAAATCTCGTACGTACCGATTAGTTCCGCCATTTAAGAACGCGGATAAAGAGATGCTGTAGCGATTGGTAACCAGAAAAGAGATAAGACAATATTTATTTGTCTTCATTGTTGAACATCCTGTATTAAATGTTATTATTCTCTCCATGCTCTTGGCAGTTTACTTATATAAAATTATATCGGTTTCTGAAGTTGATACAAACCTAAATGTGTAATCTTCCCTAAAACTAACCAGAAAATAAATCCTAATTACCATAACTGAAGTAAAAGTGTCCTTATGTATATGTCCAAAAGTACAGTTCAAACAACGCTATTGTTTTCTTGCGCCAAGTAAATCGTAATTTTACCAAAGTAGTATGACTGCTAGGGAATAAAAATAATTGTCAAGTTAAAAAATATATTTGTAACATTATTTATTAGTGTTTACTACTGTTTCCAAAAAAATTGTATTGGCTTTTGCATAAATAGTAAACGTATACATATTTTTCAATTTTAATTATAGGAGAGAACTGGTTGCAATTAACGTATAAAATAAATCATATGCAATTCACGCTTTAATATTGCCACGGTCTTATTAATAACGTTGCATCAAAATAAAAAAATATCTTTTTAACAAACAAATTTTCAACCATTCTTTTAATCAAACATTTAAAAAGCGAAAGATTACTTATCTCTCTCCCAATCCTTCACGAACACCACTTATGAACATAATTAACAACTACCATATACAATTTACGGAACTCCCACATTCACTTCCTTTTAATAAAAAATTTTTAATTAAATTTTAAACATATTACACTGAAAATCCTTTTAACCGTGTACATCAAAGCAGATATCATTCAAAGCACAGCTTTTCTCGTTTATAATACTTCAAAGATCAGGTCGTATTTCAATTTCGCAGCATTTTATTGCACGACGATGCACATGCGCCATGTGTACAATGAAATCATACGCCATTTGCAAAATAAAAATATACGTCATTTTTGCCAAGTCTTTTATCTCATTTTGGAATAACAAAAATGACTTCGAATGACCACGATTCATTCTGAGATGGTTTCCATATTGATCGAAAATAGGCACAATCGTGGGAATACGTATCATTCGTTTTTCTTCAATATTTTCTTGCCAATGAGTAGACCGTCTGTCCGGCGTCACGTTACGCGTACACGAGGCAAACGACGCGGGAAACTACCGGTTTAAACCACAGTCCTATCTCGTCTGTTCTGTCGTAGACTCCTTTCCTCTCATGTGCGAATAATCGGATCGTGGATTCGCGTGAACACGCGCGTGCTAACGAGCATGTCCGTACGCGGGCACTCGTGTCTGCGTGCAGGTGAACAAGACGGATCGTCTAGATCCATCGGAAACTGGTTTCGAATCTGACGATCGAACCAGTTTCTACACACGAGCGACGGCGATCTTGCAACCAGCAGGGAAATGGAACTACAGCGTACCACTTTACCGCGACTTTCGTCCATTTTCTTTTCTTATTTTCTTGCACCCATAATGTTGATGTTCTTCTTCCGATTATAGTTTGCTACGTTGGGTCTTCCTTAGTACGAGAATTTTGATTGGTATTCGGTATTCGATTGACTTATGGAGGTATAATTGAATATGTACCTTTAAAAGCTTCCCTAAGGAAAATGGTGACATCGGAAGAAAATTCATTACTCGTTTTCTTAATGAATTTTTAGATTTGTAGTTCTTCAATTTTTGGAAGCGACTTGGCTGTTTCGGAATTTGGCAATTTGGAAAACTGGGAATTTGATAATTTGGAAATTTGGAAATTTAGAGGTTCCGATAGTTTGGAAGTTTGAAAGTTTGCAAAATTTGGAAATTCAAAAATTTAGGAAATTATGCATTTAAGAATTTGAAGATCTTCAAATGTTCTGAAATTAGAGGAAATTTGGGAATTTCTAAGTTTGTTTATTTAAAAATCTTGAGACTTCAGGAACTTGAAAAATCAGGATCTATCGCATTTAGAAATTTTGAAATTATGGATTGGAGGTTTGGGAAAATTTAAAATATTTGCAAATATATAGATTTCACATTTCCCAATTTTTACATTTGAGAATTTGAATATTTTTTAATTTAGATTGCTTCAAATTTTCATTTCTGAAAAACTTGTTAATTTCTTAAATTCTTTTGCTTACTAATATAGGTATCACATCATGTAGCAACAGTACAAAATACTAGTAATAATAACTTTTTCAATATGAATTATATATATTAATTTATAACATCTACTAATTACTGAATTGCCAAAAAATTGTCCAAATTGACATATATTCTTGTAAACAAATTTTCTTACAAACATCGAATTCGATTTTCTCAAAAACCAAATCACGAATAAATTATGTTCTATATTCTCGACTTTTTCACCTTATAGAATTACCTCCTGCTCCTGTGTACCGCAAGTTACGGTAGACTCTGTACATACGTACATGTACTCTCTAAACTTGCATATTCCAATTTTTTCCCTTAAGCAATAAATAACTCAGAAATTGTACCAGGTTTGTATCGCGAAACAAAAAGTTGTGCAACGAATGTCTGGCCATTGGAGAATGATCGTCGAGAAAAACTTGATCGCGAGCAAAACGAATCTCGCGATATCTGACAGAAAAAAAGGGAAGAGGAGCACTTGGGTGAGAACGAAGATATATGTACAGTAATCCGACCGCAACACGTTCTCTTTGTTGCCGATCTCATGTCGAATGGCTCCTGCCTCTCCATTCTGCCAGCCTGTACACTTTCAGTTTTTTCTTCTCTTTTCTCTTGTACCTTTTGTACTTGGCTGCACTCCAGATACATTGTGAGGACCCAAGTATGGCGCCCTCTTCGAGAAGGACGAAAGAATCGCTTTCCACTATGCGCGCGAAACGAACGTGTGCTCCACGGCAGGTAGGTATACGCGAATTCCATACATAGGCAGAAAGTTGCACACGGATACCGAGCACCTCGACCTGGCGCACCCAGGAAGTGCTTTTATCCGATCCGTGTATCTTACAGTCGATGATTCTCGGTAGAGTCGGAAACGCTAACTTATCTCGCCTTTTATTGTGAACGAATACCGACGCAGCTTCGCAACGCGCGCGAACCTTGTATTATTTAACCCTTTCTTGCCCGAGATAACAAAAAATGAATTTATAGCCATTTGCGTGATGATGTTATTAGAGTTATGTAGGATTCATGATGAACACGAGAATTTTTCGTCCCTGAGAAAGTGATCTTGATGTTGGGTTATTTCTTTGAGCACACTTATGTTGGATCATGTAGGGATTCTGATGCAGGTTCTCTTTTATGTCATTTGGTAACTGATATATTTGACAATTATAAATTTGAAAATTTTTATATTCGAAGATATGGAGAATTTGTAATTTGATAATTTGGAATCGTGAATATTTGGAAATTTAGGTATTTGGAAAAAGAGTTAAAGACTTTCGAAATTTAGAATTAGAGAAGTTTGTATATTTACGGATTTCGGAATTTAAGAATTTGTTTATGGATATTAACATTTGGAGACTTGAATTTGAGAATTTGAAGATTAAGGAATTTGAAACTTGAAAAGAGTATAAATCTGGATATTTGAAAATTTGAGAGCTTCGAAGAATAAGCAATTGGGTCCTTGGAAGCGTAGTATTGCAGGGATTTGTAAATGTGTAAATTTTAAAATTTTTGAAATTATAAATTTGTAAATTTGGGAATTTGGGAATTTGGGATTTTGGAATTTAGGAACTTAGAAATTTGATAATTTAGAAACTTGAAAATTTAGAAATCCCGAAATTTTGACAATATAAAATTAAAAAATTTATTAAATTGAAATTTTCATTTTTGAAATTGAGAAACCGACTATCCATGAATACAACGGCATGCTACTTGCCAGAAATAGCTAACAAGACTTAAATAACAAAATGAAAATTGAAAAATTGAGCGACAGATTAATAAATTCGTCTTTGATTCAATTTATTGATATTATGATCTCCTTTGTAGTATACTGTTCAAGTACTAAAACTAGTAGCATAGAGACCATTAAGAGAAGATATGGACAGTTACATCGTAAGATTTCCTTCCTGTTTATACTTCTGATAGTCTGATCGTAGCACGTGTTGGAACGTATAAAGTTAATTTAATCTCATCCACGTCATAAAGCGTTGCTTAATTCGTGCTTGTATGACCCTAAGAAGTAACATAGAGTGACTAATAAAATTTATGAGTCAATTGAGCTTATCTGTGGCAAATGCCGCTCTTCGTTTAAATCTTTCTCTTCTTTGTTTGAAGCTACTTCAAATCGTAATTTCTTTGTGCATTTAGTCTAGCATAATCATCATGTTTCATTTCCATCATAATTAGGTACGTGTTATACTAAATATTACATTTAACAGACTACATTTTGTTCCCAAAAGTTCTACACTATAAAAATTTGACATTCAGTACTATTCATATTATTGCACATACATGGTGCTTGTATGTGTACAACCTGAGTAATAAATCGAGATGTTGGATATATAAAGCCATTTATGACTTCATCATTATTTTCAATACAACAGATATGTAAATATCTTTATCTTTAATTTCTGTCCAGTTTGTATCACTAGTGGGTGTCAGTCCATGTGCATCATACGAATTCGAACGCATATTTAAAATATAGAATATTGTAAACATATACATATGTAGACAGAACAAGAATGAGAGATTGTAAAGTCCTTTCAAACGAATAAATGTATCTGGAACTATTACGTATTATCGTCAACTATGGGTTATCAGCCAGAAATTATAAAAAACAATACCAAAACAGTGTTGTATCAGTTCGACGACAATCGACGTCGGTGACGACAGGTTCCTTGCATTTTTACTGCCAAAATTTATGCAGAAAATTGAGACTGTTTCAGGAGTCTACCCACAAAATTTCAAGTCAGACGACCCAAAATTGCGGCTTGTGTTGTACAGATAAACTAACAGGCAACCGAATAAATGCTGTAATTCGTCCCAAGAGCCCGTTTGGCAATTATTTTAATCTATCGGTTATAAAATGTAATACAGATAACACACTGATCATATGTAGTTTTGAATCCATGAGTGCTGAACAGCTAATACTGATTTAAAAATGTTTTAATAGAATATAAGTATCAAAAGTTATCTTCTATCAAAAACTTTATTAGAGAACAAACCTATAGTTACTAAAAGATCCAATATCTTTCCGGATCAAAGAATAGTCGAAGCCTAGAAGACTTGCTGATGTTCATGCAAAATTATAATTATCAGCGATAACAATGCGAGAACTTATCACATACTTGTACTTGAAGTTCGTTTTCGATTCCCTCTTGTTTCTCTGGCTGTCGAGCCGAAGACGCTATCTTCTGTTCTAGAGCACGTTTCTGTTCCTGTTCACTAAAGTTATTGTACCATAGTGCACATACACGACAATGGCGGACCAACCTAGATACTATAGAGTAATATCTATGCTCGTATGTAAACCGTCCAAAGGAGAGGAGGACGGCGTGGAGAGAAGCGACGTGCATTGTGAACGTCTTTACAAAAGCCGTTAGATGCAGCCAGAGACGTTCATGCAAAAGGACAATCTCGGTGTTGGCCCTTGCAGACGGTCAGAAGTTGAATGTCCATGTTGAATTCTGCTTTTCGTTTTATCGGAGAAATCTTCGATTCAAAATGCGCCTTGAATGGACATACGTTTTCTCGTTTACTATTTCAACGCAAACGGATCGTGAGATATGTTTGCTGAGATTATAGACGAACGAGTTTTTGAGAGATTTGCTGTTATGGATAGAACAGATACGGGAAATTCTATTAGGAAACCATTTTTAAATTTCTAAGGGTATACATTTTTAATCTTTAGGTTTTTAATGTTCTCAACTTCTAATTTTTCAAATTTATGAATTGAGTTGTATTGGTAAAATTATAGATTTTTAGATTTTTAAATTTGCCGATTTGCAGATTTCAAGATTTCTAGATTTCTAGATTTGTTGAAATTGCAGATTTTCAAACTTCCAAATTTTCAAATTCCTAAATTTTTAAATGCTTAAATTTCTAAATATCCAAAATTTCACTTTTCTAATCACCTAGATTCCTGTATTACCAAATTTAAGAGATTTTCTGTATTTGACAAAACCTTTTTTACTGAAACTTCGTTGTAAGAGAATTTCTATATTCTCTGAAACACACTGTATTGAAACTGTATTCTCAGAGAATTTCTATATTTTCTGAAGCACCTTATACCGAAACCATACCCTAGCGAATTTCCATATTTTCTGAAGCACGTTGTAACGAAGCAGCGTTGCTAGA